CTAAATTTTTCATCTCCATCGTCAATGAAGAAACATTTCTTGGATTTAGCATCTAGCTTGTTGCAAGCATCAGAATCTATATGCATATAAAAAACATACCTAAAGACCTTTAAATGAGAGAGTTGTATTCTTTTCCTCTCCATACTTCCTCGGGTAGTCTGAACTCCAAAGGAACTGATGGTCCACGGTTGATTAAGTAAATTGTAGTATGAACTACATCAGCCCAAAATGTTTGAGGTAACTCAGAATGCAACCTCATGTTTTTAGCTCGTTCATTGATGGTCCTACTCATCCGTTCAACAATGCCATTCTATTGTGATGTGACTGGAACGGTCTTTTCCATTTGTATACCTTTAACAGTGTAATACTCTTTAAAACCTCCACCAATGTATTTTCCTTCATTATCAGATATTAAGCATTTCAATTTCAAACCTGATCCAGTCTCAACCATAGCCTTCCATTTCTTGAATGTTTTAAACATATCATATTTATTTTTTAGAAAGTAGACCCATACCTTCCTACTGAAGTCATCAATGAAAATCACATAATACCGAGAACCTCTAAGAGATGCTACTGGAGCTGGTCCCCATAAATCTGTGTGCACCAGTTCTAGTTTTCTTGGTCTTAAGGTCCTGCCAACCTTTAAGAAATTGAGCTTCTTTTATTTTTCAAGAACATAACTTTCACAAATGTCTAGATCAATATTTTTTTAACTCTGGAAACTTTCCTTTTAAATGAAGTATCTTCATCCTTTTTTGACTCATATGGTTAAGTCTATAGTGCCATAATTGTACCTGATTTTCTGCTTTAGTAGAGGCAATAATATCTGCAGATCTTGTGGTCATATATAGGGTGCCAATTTTCTTTCAATGAGCCAAAACCATTGCTCTCTTTGATACCTTCCACATACCTCTAGAAAAAAAAAGATTGAATAACCATTATCATTAAGTTGTTTGATTAAGATCAACTTCTTCTTTAGTCATAGGAACATGCCTTATATTTTGCAAGTTCCATATAGATCCATTCATTGTCTTGATTTGCACATCTCCTATACCCACAATATCCATTAGTTGTCTATCGGCCAGATAAACTACACCATGATCTCTAGGAACATAGTTTTGCATCATTTCATGGTGTGGTGTATAGTGAAATGAAGCACCAGAATCAAGGATCCAATCATCAATTGGACTTTGTACAACAAGAATCAAAGCATCTTGTACCTCATCTGTAGTAGCATTTGCTAAGTCAGCTTTAAGTTTTTTTGGTTTTGTGCAACTTCTCATGAAATGACCAGGTTTGCCACAATTCCAACATTCAACCTGCTTTTTGGGTCCAGACTTGCTTTTAAATCTGTACCTTGATTTTGATCTATCTCTAGATAAGCTTCTATCCTGTCTCCTCCCTCGAGTGTTGATGTTGAAAGCTGAACTTGAACTTGAACTTTCACCTAAGTCTTTCCTTCGCACTTCTTCAACTAAAATCAAGTCTCAAATGTCATCATATTTCAGTTTGGATTTTCCAGCTGAGTTGCTTACGGCTATTCTCATGCCTTCCCAACTGCTTGGAAGTAAAGCTAGCAAAATGAGTGCATGGATCTCATCATCAAACTCAATCTCAATATATGATAATTGATTTGTGATTGTATTCTCAACAGACAAGGCTTCCATCAATTTTATAATGGATTTTTTTTTTATAACATTATGAGTAACTCTTCTTAACAAGGATAGCCAAATAATGCCTAAAACCTGTCTATTAAGAATTTGCCAATCTTCTTCTAGCATATTCTCTGGTTTGCACCTCAATAGAGGAAGATGAAGTTTCTTCCCATATAGATAGTCTTCAATTTATATTTTTCAATATACAAAATTTGTTCCATCAAATTTTTCAATTCTAGTAGCCCTTATTTCATCTGTCATTTTAATATATCTCAAATTTGAATCTGCCAAATCTGACCTTACAGGTGTGTCTAGAATTGCCAAAAATGTTGAAAACAACATGAAAATCACCCAAATCGGACTTTGGATGACTCAGATTTTATTAATCAAACTTTTGAATCACTGGACGTTGTAGATGAAGCCACGTGTTAGGAGGAATAGTGGTTGCATCGCACTGGATCAAAACCCAGTATGCTAACATGGCTATGATGACGTGTTAGACAAGTAAGCAAACAGGCCCACATATGATGACGTGGTAGATCCACGTGGATTGTTCTGTCTAACATGTTTTTGCTGATGTGGATAATGACATATTAGGGGAGATGGCTACTGACTGTGCAGAATTATTGTTATGGCTGCTGACTGTGTGCTAACGTGTCGAGTCAACCTGATTCAGTTGCAGATATTCAGGCGAAGAAGACACGTGGAGCGTGTGGGGCGCGTCAGTACGCGTGGGCAGTGCTGTCGTCAGCGCGTGTTGGCATGTGCAAGCATGCAGGAAGTTGGTTCTTCATTAGGTTTCCACCAGTGGATTCGTCTCGTCTTCCTCTACATGATGGTATGTTCAAAAACATGTTTTGAGAACTTTGATTTTTGAATTTGGATCAAACACCGTCTTTTTGAAGAATAAGCTATAATACCAGTTGTTGGGTCATTCAAGCATTCAAACACACACAAATTTACGTGATTCAGTAACTTGCCTACTCCATGAAGCTACTGGTTTGTATTAATCACTCAAAGAAACAATACAAACAAAAAGAAAGAGAAAACTCTTCTCAACTCAGCTCTACAATCAAGCTCTTTCTTCTTTTATGTTCTTTATGTGTTTTTCACTCCTTAACTCGCAACTCTTCACTAAGCATATATATATACAAATGGGAAGGAAGGGGCATAAATCATGCCATAATTTATGCCACCAATTGTGTTCTTCACCATGTGTAAAATGGGAGGTTATGTATTCCCACTTACATATGGTGAGACATTATTTGTCTTCACTTATTAACAAATACGAGTAGCCATTTTGAATTTTCAGAGTGTTATTTGAGAGAAACTGATAAACTAGTACTGATGAGGTAAGTTTTTTATGAGAATTTATGGTTACAACTCTTATTCATAGTGATTGTAGAGTTGCAGATAAGCTTGAGAATTTAAGTATGGATCCATAATTCATGAATTAGTCTTTGAAGATATTAGCTACCATGCGATTTCTTCATGTGTTGAAAGAGTCTGCTATCTGCAATTCAATCTGAATATTTCAACTAGAAGTAAATGATTTTCATCCATATATCTTGTTTTCTGTCAGGATACTCAATATAATATGGGACTCTTCAAAACACTATTATAGTATGTGTTACACATGGGAGTCCAAATTCTGATGCCTCCCTTCAATGGAAAATGGAAAATAATAAGCTGGAGTACTGCCATGGAATCCTTTTTCTGTGAATCTAAGCATGGTTTGATATTGTCAAACAGTGCTAAAAACGATTCGGCAGGCTTCAGGTTTACCCCAACTCAGCACAAAGTTTTAACACATGCATGGAAGTTATCGGTGTGTGTCAGGCAAAAACTTCATAGCAACTCTATTATGCTGCTACTGGTATGGATTTTTCACAGGCAAGTCTTGCTCGATGAATCAGGGAAAGGAACTGCCATGGACAAAAGAACTTTTTGCAAGTGGTTGTTGCACATCAGGATATTGTGATTGAATTTTTCTGTTGTTGGGATTGGATTATGACAGCAGAAAGGGATGATTTAGTGGATCAGCATACTTAGTGGAGGCGTCTTGTTTTTCAAAGTCACTGCTCTTTCAATAATTCACTTCGGAATCTCATTTCCGGCATTGGAACTAGTGTATAACAAGAATTGTTGGAATTCCTTGGGGATTCTTGATTGGTGCTGAGCTAACTATAGTGCAAAGTCGTATTTCCTTGGTTAATAAGATCCAAAAGGTTTATCGATCCCCCATAATAGACATATAGAAATTATTGCAACAAAAAGATGATGTTGGGTCCAAGTTGGCCATAACTACAACAGAATATACTAAAGCCGAAGGGGTAGGAACCCTCGTTTTGCTGTGAATTACAACAATAAAATATCTGTTTTTACACTCAGTCTAATCAAATGTAGCGTTATTTAGACAGGTATTAGGGTTTTTCTTTTTTTAAAAATAAAAATACTAAAATAACCTTGGAACCAAAAAATTATAGGTCTTTGGTCCTGGGGTGTTTTTTAAACTTTAGTGTTCTAGTGGATTGCTAAAATGCCCTTAAGTTTCTTTCTCCTCCAACAAAAAATACGGATTGGTTTTAGTATTTGTGTTCTGATTTTTCTTTTTTGTCCTTACTCTTTAATAAGTATTAAATTTTATTTATTTTCAATCTAATTTTTTAATTGCAGTCTAGTTTATTCTTTTGATTTTAATTTTTTTCTTGAATATTTACAATTTCACTCTTTTATTCATAAAAGGTTGCACTAGATTTTCAAATTTTTTCTTGGTTTGTTTCTTGTGTTTCATTAAATTTATGTATCTCTTTAGTCTTTCGTTGTCCACTAGCAACCACAACAAAACTCCCAACAACCATCTAAACTACCACCTTGATCTTCTAGAATTAGCTTCTCAACTACCAACACATCCACCTGGAAAGCTTTTCAAGTTGAATTCGGACTTTAATGCGTTTCTGTGAGTGAGAGGATAGTTTAAGATCGTCTATGATCACACTATGGTTGAACCTGATGGTTTGGCTAATTCTGAATAGAAGATTAATTAATCTGTCAGGTTATAATGTTTTCTGCTGGGAATTCTTCTTGTTCTACTGTTAACAGTTTGAGGGAATCTAGCAGTCTGAGGTGTTATGACAACGAGTCAAGTCTTGTTTCTCTTACACTCTGGGCATTTTAAAAATTCTATCTATGACAAAGCAGTATTTGTGTGGAATTACAGTGGCCAAACATCAGTTTCTGATCAAATTTTAACTGTTGAAAAACTTATGGAAATGCATGATAGTACAAGCATGTTGCAAGTAAATGATACAAATCGTTGAATACGGAAACGAAAGAAGACTAGACGAACGTAATGGTAAGAAAGGAGGAAATCTTCTTCGGTTCAGGATCCATGACAGTCTAGAATTGAGCTTGAAGTTTCTCAACGACAGACATGTCCACCTGGAAAGCCTTGGCTAGAATATCATTTGGAATGCTTGGAGTAGATCCAAATAGGGTATTAGCAACGAGAACAACACCGGGGTTTTGGCTGCTCAAGGAAGAGATCGAGAAAGCACTTCCGAGGCCAACATTTCTCTGGAAGTGAACGAGTCCAATTGGAAATACAAACACATCACCCTTTTCAAGGACCTTGCTGATGAGCCCGTTATCAGGGTTAGAAGTCACGAAGCCAACTAGGAGTCTGCCTTCCAAGACGGTGAGAATCTCAGTAGCACGAGGGTGTGAGTGAGGAGGGATCAGGCCCCATGGTGCATAGTCAATGCGGGCCATCGAGATTCCAAGGGTGTTGAGTCCAGGTATTTGTCCTACAAAGACCGGTGTAACTGCTGAGCCAAGGGCATTTGATGTGTTTCCTGGAATATGGAGGCCGCTGAAGGAGAAGTGGTTGGCTTGTACCATGTTTGAGTCCAAGCAAGCTAGGCCATTAACTCTTGCTGCATACCAAGAAAAACGTTAGAGACATTGCATAACATTTTGATGTTTTTGGAATAGCAGAAGCAAAAACATTACCGTAACCAAATTTTATGCAATTAAAGTAACTGTAGTATGGTCCTGTGTGTATCAGTACAATCCTGACCTGAGCTAGTAGGATCGGCAACGCAGAAATCTTGCAATGGACTAGGCTCAAAGGAAGTGACCACGGCACAAGCAACGGCTAAAAAACTCACAATAACCAAAATGTGGCTAGCCATTTTGATCCTGTGTTATTACCAGCAAGAAACTGATAAACTATCAACGTGGTGGTGATGGAAACTTATTGTTATAAGAACCCTTATATATAGTGAACGTAGAATTATGTATAAGAATTAGTCTTCCAAGGAATCAGCTGCCGTCCAGAGTCTATAAATGTGGAAAGAGTCTGTCATCTTCATTTCAAGCCAATACCGTGAGACTCTTTCATGTCCTAATGCTGTTGTCTTACTCCTAACAGCCTCATATATTACGTGACTTTTGGGTATTATTATACTAATTTAATTTGTTGACTTGATCAATCTACTAAGTTGGCTCAACACTTCAGTATATCCATGCTTTTATAAAAACATATGAAAATTAATGATGGATTAATGGTTTTGTATTGGACCTAAGCTGTTGTCTGAGAGGGAATCTGAGTTTGGTTTGACAGATCTTGTCATAGTTTTCTCTGTTGGATTTATTAGCCCCTGGCAGCCAGCTTTTGCTTCCTCTTCTAGCTTGGTAGGAAAATATCGGCAAAGCAAATATTTATGCTTAAATACACAGTATCTTTGACCTGGTAATCTGCAAATATAACTGTGCAAAAATGGAGAGTGAATTTGGCAGATTATTCAACTGACTTTACTTGAGGCAAGCCCCTTTAACGGACTTTGCTTGAGATATGCCCCCAAGCGGCCTCACTAACTACGAAACAGTGATTTTTGGAAATCAACTGTGATTTTATTAGTCTAATTCAATATTGTTAAAGGGATTCATGCAAAGAAGCAGGGAAAGGACTTAAGTCTCCTGAGCATGTTAGACTTTTTGGAACTGTTTTATATTTGACCGCTCATGATCGTGAATAACCCAAATTGCATGGAAAAGAAGAGATTCACCCTTACATAAAATTAAAGGGCCCCATCAAAATTCTTCATAATGAAGGATTCTTGAAGAGTGAAATATTGTTTTGACGCATGCAGTCAAAACAAATTGGTTGGTTATTCTTTTGTAGATACGTAAAACGGTTCAGTTTCAATCACAGCAAAATCTATAGGACATTGAAATTGATGTTTAATCAACTTCATACTTCCGCTTACGAATATATGTTATTCTTCATGGCACACATGTGATAATTCTTGAAAGTGATGTTTAATCAACTTCGTACTTCCGCTTACGAATATATGTTATTCTTCAGGGCACAAATGTGATAATTCTTGATAATTTTCAGTAGAGCTAAACCTTCAGGATTGAAACTTTGAGAAGATGTCTTGGATATACCACTTTGCAATGTGCTTATGAGATTCCTGGGTCATATGGAGTCCATCCCAAGAGATATACTTTCGAGGATCTGAACATGACTGAACACCCTCAGTTCCACACTTCTTTCTGTGATCAAAATTATATTTACCTCCGGTGCCGCAACAAGCCACCAGCACAGATTCGAGCCCTACGTAATGAAAATTCAAGGAGTAAAGATTTCATTACTACATTTATTTCTCAATGAGGATACATGTCCTTGTATACTTACCAAGTTTCTGGTGATTATCTAAAACTGATTGCATGGCAGTATAATAATCACCGATCATTATGTGCACATCAGGGTGTTCCTTTTGCAGTCTTGAAATGGCTTCTCGGAGAAGATCATTGTGATACTTAATGAAGTCGTTGTAATCTTTCAGACAACCGAATTGATCGCGAGCATCGGAAGAATTCGAGCGCATTGCAAGCAAACTCGGTGCGCAACCTACGTGCAAGTATCCAGTGACAAGCACTTGAGTCGCGCCATAACCGATGATTTTCTGTATAATATATCAACAACGTGGTAAAATCAATATCAATACAAGAATCAGACATTATGATCAGAAGAGAATAAATATGATTAAACAGACTTATTCTACCATGATGATGCAGCAGGTTAATTAACTTACTCTTACACCTTCTTCATTGCTTTTATAACTTGAGACACAAGATCCATCTTCTTTAGCTCCTCAATGGTTTTGCCTCTAAGCATCGCGATGAGATAGTCATTAGCGCCCATTGCTTCAATACTGAATAGAGATGATTTGAGTTTCTCTTTGCAATCTACTGGACATGAAAAAAATCATATGGACTAATCTTTGGTTAGATATATACGTTGCAGATGTTTTTGCAAGAGTTTTTTTAAATTGAAAATACATCAAAATTATGATTTTTTTCAGTTTATCAGACTGGTCGAAAAACTACGGGAAAAACACTTTCAAAAAGTGTGGGTAAGGAGGAGAAAAAGCTATGTGAATAATTAATTACCTTTACTGTTATTACACAATGATTTTGCATAATTGCCCCACCATTGAAGCTGGATATCTAGAGAAATGTTAATAAATGGCTGGAGATTGAATTTCTTCAAAGCTTCACGTGGTAGGGCAGTAGCACCAGCAACTGCAAAATTCACCCCGCCATGTGTGTCCTTTACATCCTTGTTTAAGTAAGGATTAAGAAGGGGAAGACAAGCTGCTTTTGCTGCAAATTAAAGTTCAAAGAACAACCAGCTTAGAGACAAACACTCCTCTAGTTCTCCTTGCTATAAAGAAAAAAAAAGGGCATGGACGGGTGATTTTAATTCCTTACCAAAGTAGTCAATTACAAGGAATCCATCAGAGTATCTACCCTTTGCATCCTTAATGCTTCTTCCATAAGGAGCATTGAATTCTGATGCATTAGGAGTTAGATGCATGGCGTTTCCCGTGTCTGACATTGAAGTTCCAAAATTGTATATCGCATCAAACCCACAATTCTTATGTATTATTGCATCACAGGAGCTCGAAAGGGATAAAACAAGAACCAAGAGAGAGCATGTCACTATAAGAACACGGGAGAAAACCATTGTAGCGGTACCCATAATGGCTTGGCTTGAATGAACAAAATGGGATTTTTGGTTTTATCAGAATATATAGGCAGGATTTCAAGCTGTTCAGGAACAACTGTATAATGAAGTAATCAAGCAAAACATTAAAATTTTGTTAATAATTGATTGGTGCATCCATTTCATCTTTTCTTGTAGCAATAATTTTCTAGTACTTGTTCATGGGTCGTGTTTGCTAGATGTCAACCACAGTTGGCATTTCATTTGAAACCATTTTCTGAGGTATTTATTAAGTGTAATTATCTATCTATAAATAACTGTTCCAATAAATTCTTTGGTTAATATAGAGGTCCAACTTCATTAATTAAGGAGTAATGCTACAAGAAATTATTTTATTGAAGATTTTCAGTAGTGCGGTAAAAACTAAAATATTATTTATTTAAAATTTAAAATTTATTTATTTAAAATTATATTTTTAGTATTTTTGAATTATTTTAATATGCTGATGTTAAAATTGAATTTATAAAAATAAAAAAATTATTTTAATATATGAGAAAAAACGTTTTCAAACGGAAGATGCTAAAATAAATTTTAATCTAATGAGGAGCCCAATTCAATACATTTCATAACAGCTCATTTCATAAAAATTTCAGGATTATGCGAACAATCATAGTAAAAAAGAAAAGAAAGAAAAAAAGTAAATCCTGAGACCTTATTACTGTTAGGATAATTTTATAAAAAATTAGAATATATTAAGCAACTGTTATAATAAATTCGTTTTAATTGCCCTTTAATTGCATATAATTTCAAAAATTTATATGCCGTTTAATTTCCCTTTAATTGTATGAAGTTACAAAACTTCCCATAACCTTTTGATTACATACAGTTACAAAACTTTATAATATATATTTATAGATTTTTAAAATGATACTGTACACCCACTTTTATCATTCATATATATATATGAATGATAAAAGTGGGTGTACAGTAACATTTTAAAAATCTATCTTCTACTTGCTGCAAGATTTTCCTCCCCTTATTGACTAAAGTCATGTCATGTCATATAATTTTGTTTCTTTTGTTATTATTATCAATGTAAGTGTTCTAGTCTCAACTAACCCCACAAAACGTAAATTTAATGGCCATTGTTAATCATCTATCGCAGCTTGGCACTGCCAACAATTATGAAATCAATATAAAAATAAGGATACACTAGATTCTTGAAAAAAATAAAGGATGGAGACTCTAGCCTCAATTACTAGAGAATGGTTGAGTAATTTTACAGCTCTAACAGTAATATATTCAAACGAAGATGATAATTCAATCAAAACTATAAATTTAACAAATTCAAACTTTTCAATCAAAACTATAAATTTAACAAATTTAAACTTATAGTAACTCTACATAGTAGTTCAACAAATTTACAGGGATTATCTACTGTCAAATTTTCTATTATGAAGCTGTCGTCGTAACAAACTCCTCTATCATGAGACTGTCATCATAATAAATCAGCACCGTCATCAACCAGATTTTATAGGATTTTTCCTTTTATTTTCCAGTTGAATCATTATATCTTATTAATTTAAATAATTTACTTGTATAGTCTAGTTGTTCACGTTGAATAAAATAACAATGAAAATTGAATATTCATTTGTCAAAAGCTCTGTCAGCTCAGTTTATTTTTTTTTGTATCAGAGCCTTTATAAACATTAGGAACAACCTATCGTATATACTACAACTTACCCTTTCTTCCTACTCCAACAAGATACACAAATATAGAAAACTTAACCCCACAATTAACAGATGATTTTGTAGCATGAAAAAAGTTAGATTGTCTCTTTCAAGGATGGATCATTGAAACACTCTCAGAGGAAACTCTTAGACTCATTGTTTGTCTTGACATAACTCATGCTATTTGGGAGGCTCTAAAAAATACATGTGCTAAAGACTCACAAGAACGTGAGTTCACACTACGACAACAAGTGACCTACCTTCAAATAGAAGATAGCACAACAATCACAAAACATATTCGAACCTTCAAAGGTCTTTGTGACAACTTATCAACCATTGGAAAGCTCGTACCAAATCAAGAAAAGGTCTTTTGCCTTCTCACCAGCCTTGGTCCTCATTATGAAACATTCACAACAACCATGTTGAAACCCCCTAGGCCATCATACT